GTTCTTCAGAATTTCACCCAAAAGCTTCAGCTGTCTTGGTTGTTGTAGTCATTAAAGTGAATAACACATTATTTTGATATTTATTTTTAGATACTATATTTTATTCTTAGACTATAGAAACACAATTGTGAATTAATTTTATAAAACAGAGCTTTAAAATTAAAGTTTTTTTTTTGAGACGGAATCTCACTCTTATTACCAAGGCTGGAGTGTGGTGGCGCAGTCTCGGCTCACTGCAACTTCTGCCTCCCAAGTTCAAGTGATTCTCCTGCCTCAACCTTCTGAGTAACTGGAACTACAGGTGCCTATCACCACACCCAGCTAATTTTTGTATTTTTAGTAGAGATGGGGTTTCATCATGTTGATTGGGCTGGTCTTGAACTCCTGACCTCAAGTGATTGGCCAGCCTCAGCCTTCCAAAGTGCTGGGATTACTGTCGTTAGCCACTGCACCCAGCCAAATTAAAGGTTTTATAGTTAATATTGTTTGGGAAAGGGGAACTATGCTGCTTACTTCTACCCAAGAACTTAATTCTGAAAGTATTCTCATTTTACAGGAATAAAATTGAGAATTAGGTGTTAAGTGACATACCTGAATGAATACCACGAGTAAGTGACAGAACTAGGATTCAGCACATGTACGTCTTACTCCAAAGGGCATACCTTTTGTAATACTGTCATCTTTCATCATTCTCCGTGTCTTACTTACAGTTCCTGACTCTTAAAGTGAGACTTTAAGTTTGTTTGTGGGAGCAGTGGGATTGGAGTTTTACATTGTGAAATAACTGGATGTTTGAATTAAACTGTGGTGGTATAAAGAATAGTAGTTGCTTGATGGAAAATTGAGCTGTGAAAAATTTTTGGCTAAACTTTCCGTTTCCTACTCTAAACCCTATAAAATGCTTTTTTTTTTTTTGTCCTTTTGAAATAATCTTGCTCTGTTGCCCAGGCTGAAGAGCAGTGGCAAAATCTTGGCTCACTCCAACCTCAACTCCCTGGGTTCAAATGATTTTTGTGCCTCAGCCTCCCAAGGAGCTGGGACTACAGTCACATACCATGATGCCCAGCTAATTTTTTGTATTTTTAGGAAAGATGGGATTTCACCATGTTGGTCTTGAACTCCTGACTCAGTGATCTGCCTCAGCCTCCCAAAGTGTTGGGGTTATAGGCGTAAGCCACTGCACCTGATCAGAATGCTTTTTGTAATGGAATTCATCATGGTAATGGTATTTTCTTGAGCTGATGTGGTACATTTTTAATAAAGTAATAGTGTTCTTTCTCTAAAGTGAATAAAAAAAAAAGGCAAATTTTCTCTGATTTATAATTTGGGGGCTGGACACCATGGCTCTTTTTGAGGCCGAGGCAGGAAACTGAAGCTGGTAGATCGATTGGGCCCAGGAGTTTAAGACCAGCCTGAACAACATGCCAAAACCCCATCTCTACTAAAAATAAAAAAATTTAGCCAGGCATGGTGTTGCGCACCTGTAGTCCCATCGACTGGGAAGGCTGAGGTGGAGAATCACCTGAGCCTGGTAAGTTGAGGTACAGTGAGCTGTGATTGCGCCACTGTATTCCAGCCTGGCTGATGGGAGTGAGACCCTGTCTTAAATAATAATTTGGGGATGATATAGACAAATAAGGACAGAGGTATGAAAATGAATAATTATTAGCATTTATTAACCAGAGAGTTGGGCAGTTTCCAAAAGCAGCTTTTCAATTTCTCTCTCCTCCTCTCCCAAAAACTTTAATCAGGTTCTTTAGTATCCTGACATCTTAGGGTTATTTACATACTACTTTTTGGAAGTGGGATTGTGGAAAGCTGTCGAGGTCTTTGAAAGCATGATTAGCTAGATTATTATTTTTGTTTGTATTTTCTTTCTTTTTTTTTTTTTGGCTGAGCACAGGGGACTTTATTGATGGTACATGACAAGGTGGGGCTCCCTAGGTTCCTCCCTCTTCAAGGGGTCTGCATGGAAACTGTGAGGAGGGCAGTTCGGTGTGGTGAGGGACTCAGTGTGGCAGGGACTCCCCAGCAGTGAGGGCCTCTCTTCCTCTCGTGCTCTCGCTGGGGCTGGTGGTCCAGGGGTCTTACTCCTTGGAGGCCATGTGACATGAGGTCCACCACCCTGTTGCTGTAGCCAAATTTATCATCACATTAGGAAATGAGCTTGACGAAGTGGTTGTTGTGGGTAATGCCAGCCCCAGCATCGAAGGTGGAAGAATGGGTGTCGCTGTTGAAGTCAGAGGACACCACCTGGTGCTCAGTGTAGCCCAGGATGCCCTTGAGGGGGCCCTCCGACGCCTGCTTCACCACCTTCTTGATGTCATCATATTTGGCAGTGGGGACACGGAAGGCCATGCCAGTGAGCTTCCCGTTCAGCTCAGGGATGACCTTGCCCACGGCCTTGGCAGCACCAGTAGAGGCAGGGATGATGTTCTGGAGAGCCCCATGGCCATCACGCCACAGTTTCCCGGAGGGGCCATCCATGGTCTTCTGGGTGGCAGTGATGGCGTGGACGGTGGTCATGAGTCCTTCCACAATACGAAAGTTGTCATGGATGACCTTGGCCAGGGGCGCTAAGCAGTTGGTGGTGCAGGAGGCATTGCTGATAATCTTGAGGCTGTTGTCATACTTCTCATGGTTCACGCCCATCACGAACATGGGGGCATCAGCAGAGGGAGCAGATATGATGACCCTTTTGGCTCCCCACTGCAAGTGAGCCCCAGCCTTCTCCATGGTGGTGAAGATGTCAGTGGACTCCACCACATACTCAGCGCCAGCATCGCCCCACTTGATTTTGGAGGGATCTCGCTCCTGGAAGATGGTGATGGGATTTCCATTGATTACAAGCTTCCCATTCTCAGCCTTGACAGTGCCATGGAATTTGCCATGGGTGGAATCATACTGGAACATGTAGACCATGTAGTTGAGGTTAATGAAGGGATCATTGATGGCGATGATATCTACTTTACCAGAGTTAAAAGCAGCCCTGGTGACCAGGCTCCCAATATGACCAAATCCATTGACTCTGACCTTCACCTTCCCCACGGTGTCTCAGGGATATGGCTGGCAATGGGAGACAAGATGCGGCTGTCTGTTGAACAGGAGGAGCAGAGAGCCTTGTATTTTCAGTAGACAGTAATCCCAGCACTTTGGGAGGCCAAGGCAGGCAACTGCATTCCAGCCTGGGAGACAGAGCGAGACTCCAGCTCAAAAAATATATATATTATTTTCTGTTGCTAAAATGTACATTTTCACCTCTGCCACAAATACCAAGGTTGTTAATAATTTTTTAGGGCATAAGTAGTACCTTCTTACTGTACATATTTATAGTTAAATTTAGTTTTTGGATAAACAGTATTTTCAGAAAAATGTAAAAAAACCAGTACTAATTAGAAAGTACATTTTTAAATCCTGTGTTTTTATTAAAAGGATTAATTAGGAGTGATGTGAACTTTAAAAAATTTAGGTTTTAAGTTATATATTTTTTCTGAACTAAACGTTCTATACTAAAAATATTTAATATAGAGAAGAAAGTAAAAATTGTGTCTCTTTTGGGGTTGTAGGAGGAAGCCAAAGACCTCTAAAACAGTAATTCTTACACTGTTTTATCTAATACGTTTAAGAAAATGCGTCTAAAAGCAAAAAACTTCACTTTTGAAATCTTGAGTGAGGCTTTCTTTCATAAGAGTAGATATGTTGTGTCAACTAGGTAACAATATGGAATCCTAACCAAAAAAATGAAGATATAGGCTGAGCGTGGTGGCTCGTGCCTGTAATTCCAGCACTTTGGGAGGGCGAGGTGGGTGGATCATAAGGTCAGGAGTTCCAAACCAGCCTGGCCAACATGGTGAAACCCTGCCTCTATTAAAAATACAAAAATTAGCCAGTCATGGTGGCACAGTCCTGTAATCCCAGCTACTTGGGAGACTGAGGCAGAAGAATCACTTGAACCTGGGAGGCAGAGGTTGCAGTGAGCCAAGGTAGCACCATTGCACTCCAGCCCGGATGACAAGAGCAAGACTCCGTCTCAAAAAAAAAAAAAAGAAGAAGAAGATAGAACTTGTACTTTAGGGATTTTGGTTTAAAAAATTAAAAGGAGAAGATTTACTGAATTTTTAAGATAGGTTTGAGAACATAAGTGCGGAGCTCATTTACAGGCAGGCACTTATGAATGTTAATGTGAATCCCACTGGATGGTTTTCTCAATCATTTGATGTTATCCTGGCTCTGAGAATGGACTGTCCATAAGATTAAGAGACTCAGTAATGCTGTATAGATAGGAAAGTACTTGGAGTAGTATAAAGTGCAAAATAAGTCAGTGTAGATAAATTTAAAGTAGGAGTCTGGTTTTGGAAGTAGGTAGTTGCCATTTTAGTAAACTAAGCAGAAAAACAAAGAAGGTCTTAGATTCTTTGGAGGCATTTAGGCCTCTGGAATTTTCATGGAAAGGAAAATCAATTAGATGGCTAGAGCTTTCACCATTCTGGTGGATGGTATACTATTTCAGTCAGTTAAACTAAACATCTAGAGTTGTTATTGTTAGTTCAAGTGAGAGTTTATGGCCTAAATGCGTTTTAATGACCCTGAATTTTCTGTTTGTATGAGCAGAACCCATGTATCCTGTGGGGGATAGTGCAGAATATAGTATCTTAGCATTCATCTGTGGATGATTAGATTTATCACTTTGGACCTAACAAACATGGAATTGGCAAACATAAAATAGGTTTTATACTATTTTTCTCTAATAATATTCCTAGAAAGTCAAGAAGCAATTGTATTGTTCAAAGTGGTGTTACTTCATTTAGAGCATCGAAGTTAAAATTTCTTAGTTTTAAATATTCTTAAAACTGGCTAATTAAGTCCTAGAAAAACCCAGACTTATTTTACTAGAGCAAATAATCAAGCTTATGAAAGAGGGGGTGAAATTTTTTATAGGTAATACATTAGGCGTTTTTCTTGCTGACATAACTAACATTTATTTTCTGTTTATTTTTAAGACGAGCAAAAATCAAATTAAAGTAGATCTTGTAGATGAGAATTTTACAGAATTAAGAGGAGAAATAGCAGGACCTCCAGACACACCATATGAAGGCAAGTACTTTTTTCTGTATCAAAATATTGTGCATATTAGAACTTGTCTGAAACATTAAATCAAAATAATCTTAAACACCTATAAATTATATGGAGAGTAACTTCATTTGGCTTAGATATATAGCAATTTAAAAAATACTAAATTTAGATACTTAATATAAACCGGTGTTTCTTACTGAATTTTAGCCAATTTTTTTCTTTCCACAAAACAGTTTTAGCAGAGCTTTGTTACAGTTATAGGTTAGAATGTAATAGAATAAAACATCTGGCATGTTAAACTTCTAAATTATATGGACTATAGACCCTCAGTTACCCTTTATATGGTAACTAAAACAGACCTTGCCTTAAATATCTCACTGGTAAATGTTGCTGTTGTTTTTAAAGTTCTTCTTTTTGTATTTAGCATTTCATTCACTCATATGTCTTCATACAGGCTGTAGTCCAAATGTTTATTTTCTTTATTCAGGAAAGCTTTTAGTGATCATTTCAAGACATATAGAAAAGACGTGGCTTTGCTGAATTTGGTGTTCACAAATTAAGTCTGTAGCTACTTTAGACCATTGGGTGGTAAGATAGAGAAATAAGCCTTAGAGCATTTTACTTTCTCATGAGATGAATCCTCATTAATTAATATTGTAAATTTAGATTATATAGCAAATAACCAAGGCTCTTGCGTTAATAGGTATTCAAGTGTTTGTTTACTAGAAAACATATAAAAGTATGGTAATTCCTAATTGTATAATCTTTACATGTATTTTCTCATTTAATCCTTTCAGCAAATCTTATGAGGTAGATACAGAGATCGCTGTTTCATAGATGAAGCAAGCTCAACGAAGTAACTCATCTAAGGTCAAACATCTAAGTAGCACAGCTAATAGCCTTTGCCTTCAGAGCCTGTGCTTTTTTTTTGAGATGCAGTTTTGCCCTTGTTGCCCAGGCTGGAGCGTAGTGGTGAGATCTCAGTTCACCGCAATCTCCTCCTCCTGGGTTCAAGTGATTCTCCTGCCTCAGCCTTCCAAGTAGCTGAAATTACAGGCATGTGCCACCAGGCCTGGCTAATTTTGTATTTTTAGTAGAAACAGGGTTCTCCATGTTGGTCAGGCCATTCTGGACCCTGACCTCAGGTAATCCCCCTGCCTCAGCCTCCCAAAGTACTGGGAATACAGGTGTGAGCCAAAGCCTATGCTTTTAATCACTTTATGTAAATCAGAACTGACTTAATATGGAAGTGGTGGCAATGTCTATTTTGTTTTCTTTTGTTATCTGTTCTTTTAGATGCAAAGTTTTACTGTTACCCAGGCTGCAGAGCAGTGGCATGGTCATAGCTCATTATAAACTTGAATTCCTGGGCTCAAGTAATCCTCCAGCTTCCTCAGTAGCTAGTACTACAGGTGCATGCCACCACATCCAGTTAAATATTTTGCGTGTGTTTTTTTGTTGTTCATTTTTTGTTTTTTGAAACAGAGTCTCTTTCTCGCCCAGGCTGGAGTACAGTGCACGGTCTTGGCTCACTGCAACCTCTGCCTTCCAGGATCAAGTGACTCTACTGCTTCAGCCTCCCGAGTCACTAGGATTACAAGCGCATATCACCACGCCAGCTAATTTTTGTATATTTAGTAGAGATGGGGTTTCACCATGTTGTCCAGGCTAGTCTTGAACTCCTGACCTCAGGTGATTCCCCCTGCCTGTGCCTCCCAAAGTGCTAAAAATCTAATATTCTTGAATATTTTTCTGTTTTTAATCCAGATTTTTAAAGACCCTACAATGTCTTTAGCATATTATACCAATTTTATTTGTTCCCCTTTTTTTGAGACGAAGTCTTGTTCTGTTGCCCAGGCTGGAGTGCAATGGCACTATCTTGGCTCACTGCAGTTTTCGCCTCCCATTCAAGTGATTCTTCTGCCTCAGCCTCCCGAGTAGCTGAGATTACCGGCACCTAACAACACGATCAGCTAATTTTTGTATTTGAATAGAGACAGGGTTTTACCATATTGGCCAGTCTGGTCTGGAACTCCTGACCTTGTGATCTGCCCACCTAGGCTTCCCAAAATGTTGGGATTACAGGTGTGAGCCACCATGCCTGACCCATTTTTTATTTTTTTATTGGAGAGATGGCATCTTGCTATTTTATCCAGGCTGGTCTCAAACTCCTGGACTCAAGCAATCCTGGACTCAAGCAATCCCAATCCAAAGTGTTGGGATTCTAGGCGTGAGCCACTGGGCCTAACCTTGTAGCAATTCTTAAGTCATAAAATTTTACTTTTTGTTTTATAGTTTATATGAACCATTTCTAGATATCATTTAATTTTTTATACTGTTTATTGAGTGCTTCCTATCTGCCTAGCTTGGTCTGGCTGTTTTCATGGATGCTATTTCATTTAGTCCTTTTCACAGTCATTACATGTAGAGGAGACCTTTACTTAAACTTAGAAAAACCAGGTGCTTGTCCTAATAGCAGATTTTTTTTCTTTTTTTTTTCTGAGGTGGTGTCTCGCTCTTGTCACCCAAGCTGGAGTGCAGTGGCGCGATCTTGGCTCATTGCAACCTCCACATTCCGGGTTCAAGCAATTCTCCTTCCTCAGCCTCCCGAGTAGTTGGAATTACAGGTGTCTACAATCACGCCTGGCTAAATTTTGTATTTTTAGTAGAGACAGCATTTGACCATGTTGGCCAGGCTGGTGACAAACTCCTGATGTCAGGTGATCCGCCCTTGTAGGCCTCTGAAAGTGCTGAGATTACAGGCGTGAGCCACTGAGCCCAGCCACAGATTATTATTATTATTATTTTTTTTTGTATAGACGGGGTTTCACCAAGTTGGCCAGGGTGGTCTTGAACTCCTGACCTCAGGCAATCCGCCCGCCTCGGCCTCCCAAAGTGCTGGGACTACAGGCATGAGCCACCGTGCCCAGCCATTTTTTGTTTTTTGGCAGATGTTTTTATATAATAATATACTGGCTTCTTTTTGAAGTCGGGCTTTATAGTTATTCTTGAAATTTTTTTTAGATTGTTTTGAAGTATTTTTGGAAGATAGTAGGACAATGACATTACTCTAGAGGTCAGCCAGCAAAGTTCTAAATTTTTTAATTGATTTTTATAAACAGCACTTTCTGAGCTAAATTAGGTAGGTAGAAGCAATATTTTTTTTTTGAGACGAAGTTTCGCTCTTGTTACCCAGGCTGGAGTGCAGTGGTGTGATCTCAGCTCACCGCAACCTCCGCCTCCTTCAGGCAATTCTCCTGCCTCAGCCTCCTGAGTAGCTGGGATTAAAGGCACACGCCACCATGCCCAGCTAATTTTTTGTATTTTTAGTAGAGACGGGGTTTCACCATGTTGACTAGGATGGTCTCGATCTCTTGACCTTGTGATCCACCCGCCTCAGCCTCCCAAAGTGCTGGGATTAAAGGCTTGAGCCACCGCGCCCGGCCTAGAAGCAATATTTAATGCATGCTTTTTAAAAATCGCATAATGTATACTTACAGAACAATTAAGATATATTCTTTATTTGTTTGAAACAAGTTTGATCTTTTTTTTTTTTTTTTCTTTTTCCTCGATACTGAGAATCAGGCCAAAAGTTTGGTCATTGAAAAGTACTTATTTCTGGCTGGGTGTGGTGGCTCATGCCTGTAATCCCAGCACTTTGGGAGGCCAAGGCAGGTGGTTCACAAGGTCAGGAGTTCAAGAACAGCCTGACCAACACGGTGAAACCCTGTCTCTACTAAAAATACAAAAAATACACTGGGTGTAGTGGCATATGCCTGTAATCCCAGCTACTCAGGAGGCTGAGGCAGGAGAATTGCTTGAACCCTGGAGGTGGAGGTTACAGTGAGCCAAGATCGCTCCACTGTACTCCAACCTGGGCAACAAAGGGAGATTCCCTCTCAAAAAAAAAAAAAAAAAAAGTGCTTATTTCAGCTGCTGCTGCTAAGTGAGACAATATTTTGATAAGATTAGATTTAATATACTTTTTGGCATATATCTGAGATAGAGTGACTTGAATTCTATTATTTTTTTGTAAAACTGTTAAGAGAAGTTATTCATTTTATTAAGGAAAAGCACTAAGGGCATACACTTTAATGCTTTTTCTTTGAAATATGATAGGTAAAATATTAAATATTTATTGCAAGGATGTTGCAATTTTTGAGTTTTTAGAAATCTAAAATGCTAAGTCAAAAGTTTACATGTGGAATGTTAAGATATTTATAACCGTTATTAAGTAATGAGGCAGCTGTGTTTTTAGTATTAAAAGAATCAGATTGTGAAGTAGAATACTTATAGGAAAATGCCATATTGTGCATGTTATTTAACTCAATTTTCTTATCTTCTTTTACCTTAATAATTCAATGACAAAGGGACAGTTTAGTTCTTGAGCTTTTCTTCCTAAAAGTTCTTCTAGTCATTGTTGACAATTTAAAAATTCTCATTTCTTTTCCATCTCATCCTCTTTGGGTTAAGTTAAATTAAAGATCATTAATCTTTTTTTTTTCTTTTTGAGACAGAGTCTCACTCCGTTGCCAGGTGCCATGCTGGAGTGCAGTGGCGCCATCTCGGCTCACTGCAGCTTCCGCCTCCCAGGTTCAAGCAATTCTCCTGCCTCAGCCTCCCGAGTAGCTGGGACTACAGGCATGCACCACCACACTCAACTAATTTTTGTATTTTTAATAGAGACGGGGTTTTATCATGTTGGCCAGGATGGTTTTGATCTCTTGACCTCATGATCCACCTGCCTCGGCATCCCAAAGTGCTGGGATTACAGGCGTGAGCCACCACGCCTGGCCAAGCTCATTAATTTTTAATATTAAAAGCTATTCTTCAAAAGTTAATCTTTTATAGTAAAAGCTCTTATAGTATGAATAATGTAGTTATCATAAATTAGTATTAGTATTATTAGTTGTATTACCCTGATCAAATAATACTGTGATTAATGCTAAGTGGTTATATATTGAAAGTTGTTAGAGCATGTAACATATGGGATAGTTATAAGATTTTGGAGACTCTGGAGTCCAGCATTATTTATATAATATCTCCCAGCTCTCACATTGCTCCTAAGAGATTATTTTGGCCATTCAAGAAGAACTTTGATGGGTTATAGAGATGGTAATTTGGAGTTTAACAAGAAGAAAAAAAGTATTCTTAGGAAGAAAAAAGAAAAGCCTATGTAGTGCTGAAGCCAAATTTATTATAACTATATTTGAAGCTAGCATTTATAATTCTGGGTATAGACAGTTTCTTCAGGTACCTTTCTTTTACCTGTCCTTTTTTTCTTTCCGCTACTTTTCTTTTAATTTCATTATTATTATACATTCTGGGATTGAGGCATTTAGTTCAACTCATGCATTAGTCACTATGGGATTCTATTAAAAAGACCTAGTGGCCGAGCGAGGTGGCTTATGCCTGTAATCCCAGCATTTAGGGAGGCCAAGCTGGGTGGATCATTTGAGGTCAGGAGTTCAAGAACAGCTTAGCCAAAATAGTGAGACCCCATCTCTACTTAAAAAGTACAAAAATTAGCTGGGCTGGTGGTATGTGCCTTTAGTCCCAGCTACTCAGGAGGCTGAGGTAGGAGAATCACTTGAACCAGGAGGTGGAGGTTGCAGTGAGCCAAGATTGCCCCACTGCACTCTAGCCTGGGCAACTGACTCTCCATATCAAAAAAAAAAAAAAATAGCAGGAAGAGGTCAAGTGTGATGGCTCATGTGTATAATCTCAGCACTTTGGGAGCCTGAGGCAGGAGTTCAAGACTAGCCTGACCAACATGGTAAACCCCATCTCTACTAAAAATACAAAAATTGGCTGGGCTCAGTGGCTCATGCCTGTAATCCTAGCACTTTGGGAGGCCAAAGTGAGGGAATTACCTGAGGTCAGGAGTTTGAGACCAGTCTGGCCAACAGGGTGAAACCTTATCTCTACTAAAAATACAAAAATTAGCTGGAGATGGTGGCAGGTGCCTATAATCCCAGCTATTTGGGAGGCTGGGGCAGGAGAACTGCTTGAACCCAGGAGGTAGAGGTTGCAGTGAGCCAAGATAGTGCCATTGCATTCCAGCATGGGTGACAAGCAAGATTCAGTCTCAAAAAACAAAAGCTAGATTTGGGGGTGGCAGACACCTATAATCTTAGCTACTCAGGAGACTGAGGTACAAAAATCGCTGGAACCAAACCAGGGTCTAGCCACTGCACTCCATCCTAGACAACAGCAAGATCCTGTCACAAAAAAAAAAGAGAGAGAGAGAAGGATTAGAACCAAAAACGACTTGAAGAAAATAGTGCCGCTTTTTTCCCCCTCAAATTCACAGTTATCGATCCATTCATAACAATGGGGGAGTGAGGAGGTATATTTTACAGTCTAGAATATACTAAAGAAAGGCTCCTGTTTGACTTTTTAGAGAACTGAGTGTATAAAATTTTGAAGATAATAATGCTCCTAAGACAGTTTTTTCCCCTTTTTTTTTTTTTTTTTTTGCATTTTAGGTTTTGGGGTACATGTGAAGAACATGCAGGATTGTTGGATAGGTACACACATGGCAGTGTGATATGCTGCCTTCCTCCCTTATCACCTATATCTGGCATTTCTCCCCATGAACACACATTTTTTTATTTACTTTTTATTACCAGAAGTTTCAGATACATAAAAAAGAAGAATATAATGAAGCCTGTCCAGTCAGCTTTAATAACTTATCAGCTCATGGCCATCTTTTTTTTTTTTTTTTTTTGAGACCGAGTTTCGCTCTTGTTACCCAGGCTGGAGTGCAATGGTGAGATCTTGGCTCACTGCAACCTCCGCCTCCTGGGTTCAGGCAATTCTCCTGCCTCAGCCTCCTGAGTAGCTGGGATTACAGACACGCCACCATGCCCAGCTAATTTTTTGTATTTTTAGTAGAGACGGGGTTTCACCATATTGACCAAGATGGTCTCGATCTCTTGACCTCGTGATCCACCCGCATTGGCCTCCCAAAGTGCTGGGATTACAGGCTCGAGCCACCACGCCTGGCCTAGCCATCTTTGATCTAATCTATTCTTTGATTATCTTGAAACAAAATCTCATAGCCTTATATATAAGTATTGCAATAGCACAGTTTTATTGACTATATTTTATAATATTCCATGTTATTAATAATTTGTCATAAAATCTTAGAAGGTGCATTAGAGTTAGGAGTTGAATCCAGCCTCTCATCCAGTGCAGGACTTCTCCCTTCAGAGTTTCTTTTCTTTCTTTCTCTCTCTCCTTCCTTCCTTCCTTCTTTTCTTTTCTTTCTTTCTTTCTTTCATTTTTTGTTGAGACAGATTCTTGCTCTGTCACCCAGACTGGAGTGCAGTGGCACAGTATTGGCTCAGTGCATTATCCTCCTCCTGGGTTCAAGCAATTCTTGTGCCTCAGCCCCCAAGTAGCTGGGATTACAGGCACGAGCCACAACACCCGGATAATTTTTGTATTTTTAGTAGAGATGGGTTTTGCCATGTTTGCCAGGCTCGTCTTGAACTCCTGACCTCAAGTGATGGGCCCACCTCAGCTTCCCAAAGTGCTGGGATTACAGGTGTGAGCCATTGTGCCCTGCTTAGAGTTTCTTAAGAGGCAGTTATCCTCTCCTTGAGTACCCCAGCTGTGAGAAGCTAGATCAGCTTTTAAAAAATGCTTGTTTATCTGCTAGTTGCTCAAGATAATGTCAAAACAAAAAGGTGCCTTCTATTTGTATATTACTCATTAGAAAAGCTCCTTGGTAAAATTTTACATTTTATATACCCATTTAAAGAAATGGCTTTTTGTCTTTTTGTCTCTCTCTCGTTGAATTTTGTTTAAAACTTTAAGGATATAAGGTTTTTTATATTAAAATAGAGACAAGGTCTTGCTATATTGACCAGGCTGTACTCAAACTCCTGGCCTAGCTTTAAGCAGACCTCCCACCTTGGCCTCCCAAAGTGTTGAGATTACACGCATTAGCCGTGGAACCAGCTTGTTTTTATTATGTTGGTGCAAAAATAATTGCAGTTTAATTGCACCAATAAAATGGTGCAATTAAAATTAACAAATAAGTATGAACATTTAATTTAGTTAATTAAAATAAAATTAACAAATGAGTATGAACGTTTAGGGCACAAATGAAAAGATTGGGACCTTATTTCGTTTGTGAGAACCAGTTAAAAGTAGAATTTTGTTTATGGCATAATCTCTATCCTTTGTATCATCTATATTTTTATACCTCCTTGCCTTCTTTCTTTTCTTTTTTTTTGGTTTTTATTTTTTATTTTTTGTTATTTAGCAACTGTAAACAAGGTGGATTAGAGAAAACAGTAGGCGATTAAAGCTATAATAGTTAGGCCGGGCGTGGTGGCTCACACCTGTAATCCAAGCACTTTGGAGGCCAAGGCGGGCGGGCGGATCACCTGAGGTCAGGAGTTCAAGACCAGCCTGACCAACATGGTGACACCCCCATCTTAAAAAAAAACTATAATAGTTAATTGCCCTAATGAAATGTTGGTGTTGGATTGTTTGGATTTAATGTATTTATCTCTAGCTCTGTTACTCACTGATAAACAAATACAGTTATATGAAATGGATATTCTGTATGCTTTATTTTTTTTCTCTTTTTTTTTTAATTGTCCCTAGATGGCTTCAGGATCTGTATGCTTTAAATAGTCTTTAAATTAAAAACTAGTGCTTTTGATTACTTTCTGGGTTTCAACTTTAAAATGAATGTTTATAATTGAATATAAAATAATAGCTGCTTTGAAAAGGTCATCAATATATTTGTCTTTACATACTTGAAGTGAGCAGCATTCTTAACTTTGTTTTCCCCGTTTTTTTAGGAGGAAGATATCAACTAGAGATAAAAATACCAGAAACATACCCATTTAATCCCCCTAAGGTATTGTAAGCCTATTTTTGTGCATGAACTTATAAAATATTTTATATTTCTGACCTCATTTTATTAATATATATTTTAGGGCTTATTAAGTCACAGCTTTTTGAGTTGTTTACTGTGTAAACTTGATGTGGGCAGGATTTTAGGTAATGGCAGATGGCTTGCCTCTGAAATTAGATTGAAAAGCAAACTTACCCAAAGGCAGCCAGTAATGGCTCAAACTGGAATAGGATGTACATCTGACAATGGCTTATATACTAGATCTAGAAATACTTGCAGTGTTCCCAAATTTAGAGAGCCCTTTTACATATAAACAGAGCTTCTTACTTGACTCAAAGAAGTACGTGTTTTAGGAGAGTACATTCTACCTTCATTCAGCCATTATTTGAGTACTGTGTGCCAAGGAATATAGCAGTAACTAAGACACTGTTACTACCTTCATAGAGCTCAGAAATGGAGATTGCAACTGTGAGCAATATTGAAATTGAATTGCAACTGTGATAAATATTGAAAGGGGAAATGCAATACTCTATGATCATGTATAACAGGGGGACCCAACCTAAACTTATTTTTTGATTGAACCACTTCCTTTATGTCTCTGCTTTTACTGTCATCAGCACTTGAATTTAGGCATTCAACTTTATTCCCTATTTTGTCTATTGTTGAATCATCCTTTCATCTTTGCCATTTCTACTCATTCTCTGCGCTGTTGGTCTAGAAATCTTCCTAGAGTGCAGTTTTGATCATGCCTCTTTTCTTTCCCTGAATAAAGTCTAAACTTCATAGATTGGCACTTAAAACCTCCTAGAAACTGACCCCAATCTTCTTTTTTACTCTGATCTTTTACCACTTCCACCTGCAATGCGGGTCTCATTTTCTATCTTAGATTGTTTATTTGTAGCTGATGCTTATTCTTCCACAGCTTTCTATCATTTTCACTTAAATCTTTTCCCTATTATTTAAAATTCTAGTTTTCTCTGAGGCCCAAGTATCACTTTCTCCATTAAGCTGACTTAATCAAATGTTTCTCCCTCTACCCTCTCAATAGCGTTTTATACAATTTATGTAGTGGCAACACAGATACAGCTCCAACTCATGTATTGTTTTGGTATTTATCTTTTACTAGCTTTTATGCTCCTGAGTCAAGGACCATTTCTTATATACCTATATATTATCAGTAGTTCCCAATAGTATAGTGTCCCTTGAGCAAATAATAGCAGTCACTCAGAATGTTCTAGAATTTGTTCATTCAACCTATTGGTTGTTCCAATTTAAGAATAGATAAGATAATAGAAGTTCTAGGGTAATTTTGGCTCACCTAGCAGTATGGGCTGCCTATTAGTCTGTTGTTTACGTACATCGATTTTCTGCTAAGCCAGGTGGATTTTTTTTATTATGATAAAATATACATAACATAAAATTTACCAGTGTAATCATTTTCTTTTCTTTTTTTTTTTTTTTGAGGCAAAGTCTTACTCTGTCGCCTAGGCTGAAGTGCAGGAGTGCAGTAGCGTGATCTTGGCTCACTGCAAACCTCTGCCTCTCGGGTTCAAGTAGTTTTCTGCCTCAGCCTCCCGAGTAGCTGGGATTGCAGACTTCTGCCACCATGCCTGGCTAATTTTTGTATTTTTACTACAGATGGGGTTTTACCTCTTGGCCAGGTTTTTTTTTTTTTTTTTTTTTTTGAGACGGAGTTTCGCTCTTGTTAACCCAGGCTGGAGTGCAATGACGTGATCTCGGCTCACCGCAACCTCCGCCTCCTGGGTTCAGGCAATTCCCCTGCCTCAGCCTCCTGAGTAGCTGGGATTACAGGCATGCGCCACCATGCCCAGCTAATTTTTTATATTTTTAGTAGAGACGAGGTTTCACCATGTTGACCAGGATAGTCTCGATCTCTTGACCTTGAGATCCACCCGCCTCAGCCTCCCAAAGTTGGCCAGGTTTATCTTTAACTCCTGACTCTGTGTTCCACCCGCCTCGGCCTCCCAAACTACTGGGATGTGAGCTACCTTGGCCGTGAGCCACCGCCCATTGTAATCATTTTTATGTGAACAGTTCAGTGGCAGTATATTTACCTTGTTGTTTAACCTTTACCATCATCTGTCTGTAGAACTTTCTCACCTTACCAAACTGAAACTTTATACCCATTATTCCCTACTCCCAGCTTCTGGTAACCACTGTTTCTGTTTCTCTGAATTTGACTACTTCAGGAACCTCATGTAAGTGGAATTCTATAACGCTGTTTTGTGTCTGGCTTATATCATCTAGCATAATGTAATCAAGTTTCATTCATGTTATAGCATGTGTCAGAATTTCTTTGTTTTTAAGGCTGAATAATTTTCCATTATAAGTGTAGACCAAATTTTGTTTTTTCATTCTGCTGTTGATGGGCATTTGGGTTTTGTTTTACTTAGTTTTTTTTTTCATGGAAATGAGAAAGGAAGAAAGAAAAGAGCTCTTAGAAGGACTGTTCTCAACCGCTGTATTTTTACTATTTAATAATGAGGGTAGCAGCTGTCACTTGTTTTGTGCTAGGAATTTTTTTTTTTGAGACAGAGTCCTACTCTTCTTGCCCAGGCTGGAGTGCAATGGCGCAATCTCGGTTCACCACAACCTCCTCCTCCTGGGTTCAAGCGATTCTCCTGCCCTAGCCTCCCGAGTAGCTGGGATTATAGGCACCCACCACCACTCCTGGCTAATTTTTTGTATTTTTAGTAGAGACGGGGTTTTACCATGTTAGCCAGGTTGCTCTTGAGCTCCTGACCTCAGATAATCCACCTGCCTTGGCTTCCCAAAGTGCTGGGATTACAGGCGTGTGCCACAGCACCTAGCCTGTGCTAGGAATTTTATATACCTTTCCCAAAAGTTTTTATAACCGACCTAATAAATGAGTGAGCTGAGGCTTAGATGTTAAATGGAGCCCAGATTACATGTGGCTCTGATAAACCGAGACCCCATCTCAAAAAAAAAAAAAGCGATTTAATTGGCTCATGGTTATGTAGACTGTGCAGGAAGCACAGTGGCTTCTGCTTCTGGGGAGGCCTCAGGAAACTTAGAATCACGGCAGAAGACCAAGGGTAAGCAGACACATCTTACATGGCAGGATCTTACTAGTTCTCATGAGAACTCACACCACCATAGCACCAAGGGGAATGGTGTCAAACCATGAGAAACCAGCCCCATGAGCCAGTCACCTCCCACCAGGCCCCACCTTCCAACATCGGGGATTATCATTTGACATGGGATTTGAGCGGGGACACAAATTCAAACCATATTACACAAGGGTACATAAAACAGTGGTGTCTTAAATAGTTGATGGTGCCTGAGATTTGATGAAATGTAATAGTTACCTGGAATAGTAGTAAGCACTTGGTAAATGTTATATGGCATTAACCAGTGACTGCCACCCCAAGAGAGGGAGGCCCTTTCCAAAATAGCTTGTTGGCTTTCCTCTATAACATTTTAAAATACAGTCGCATTGACACTTAAATTTTCTCTATAAATTGAAATTTTCATACATTGCTTGAGGAAATGTAAGATGTTATCGCAGCCTCATTGGGAAACAGTTTGATCAAAATGGCAAACTTAGAGTTCTAAGCATTTCTACTTCTAGGTATAACATTTATTCACACAGTAACTTGTACACAGATGTTTATACCAGCACTGTTCATTATAGCCAAAAAATGGAAGCAACCAAAAATGCCCATCGACTGGTGAGTGGATAAATAAAACGTCGTATATCCATACTGTGGAATACTATTTGGTTATAAAGAAGAATGAAGTACTGATAAATGCTACAACGTACATGAACCTTGAAAACAGTATGCTAAATGAAAGAAACCAGACACAAAACTTTACGTTGTATTGTTTTATTTATATGAAACATTGGAAAAGGCAAATCCTAGAGACAGAAAGGAGATTGGTGGTGGTTTAGAGATAGAAGAATGGGAAAGTAACTGCTGATGGTTGCAGGGTTTCTTTTTAAGGTGATAAAATAGTAAAAAATTAGATCGTGGTGATAATTGCACAAGTCTGTGAATATACTAAAAGTTAGAAAGTTGTACACTTGCCAGGCGAAGTGGCTCATGCCTGTAACCCACCACTTTGGAAGGCTGGGGTGGGTGGATCACCCGAGGTCAGGAGTTCAAGACCAGCCTGGCCAACATGGTGAAACCTTGTCTCTGCTAAAAATTTAAAAATTAGCTGGGTGAGGTCGCACGCACCTGTAATTCCAGTTACTTGGGAGGCTGAGGCAGGAGAACTGCTTGAACCTGGGAGGCGGAGGTTGCAGTAAGCTGAGACCCCGTGCCATTGCACTCTAGCCTGGGTGGCAGAGCGACACTCCATCTCAAAAAAAAAGAAAAGAAAGTTGTACACTGTAAGTGGGTGAATTATGTCTCAGTAAAGGTGTAGTCTTTAGAGTATGTAATAGCTTCAAAGTAATTGCATAGTTATGGCTTTATTTTAGGCACTTTGACCTGTTACTTTAATTCTTGAAATAAATAGTAACTGTTTTATTAAATCTCTTCCACCTCATTCCCAGTTTTTTTTAGAGACGGTATCTGGCTCTGTTGCTCAGTCTGGAGTGTAGTGGCATGCACAATCAAAGCTTAATGCAGCCTTTAACTCCTGGGCTCAAGTGATCCCTCCACCTTGGCCTCCCAAAGTGCTGGGATTACAGGTATGAGCTGCCACACCCACCCACCTGTTTCATTGAAATGAGAAAAATAGACTCAAAACATAAGAACTGAAGTATATCTGATGTTTTTGCTACTAGCTTATATTGCTGTTTAGCCACTATTATCTGACCAGGCATGGTGGCTCACACCTATATAATCCCAGCACTTTGGGAAGTCAAGGCAGGAGAAGCATTTGAACTCAGGAGTTTGAGTTCAGCCTGGACATCATATTAAGTGTCTAGTCACAATAAAAAAGAAAAAGATACAAACCACAGTGCTTGCATTATTCATATTAAATAAAAAAAGAGAGAGAAAAAGGCCTCT